AATTTTGTAACAAAGTCAAAGAAACAATACAATGCTGCAACTAAATTTAATTAGCTCGTCAATTGTCCCACTTCGCAGCCCAGGCACACAACAAACACAAACAACTGTGTGTGAGAGCCAGCCTGGATGGAATGGCGATGGAGTATGGCTATACGTACATTTGTTTGCCTCATACCCTCGAGTCAGGTCAGTTTTGATTAGGCGACCGCCCAGCAATTGAGGCCAGGTAACGCCCGTCCCTTACATAGAGGCCGAGCATGGGGCAGTCGCTTTAGGTAACAACAAACATCATTTACCCAATCGATCCGATCGACCGATTGACTGATTGACCTGCCGCCAACTGCAGCTGATCCTGGGACCAACTGGTCAGCTGCTCAGATCCGTCTATAGTCTATAGTCTATATAAATATGCAAATCGATGTCTCGATGTCATCAGTGCGCCAAAAACAGTCGATTCGAGAGAATGAGGCCAAGGTGAGTTGAGTACAACGACGCGAGACGGTGTCGCGATTTCAAGCAAATTTATTTCGCCTCTATTGTAGCCAAACACGTGTCTTCAATCTTAACTCTTAACGGAACTACGAAGAGTGAACTTATTACATTTGCTGTTCAAATGGTATAGTATGTAGTAGAGATAGATATAGATGTAAACATAGAGCATATGTGTATCGTAGTGATATAGAAAGACAAATAGATAAATCTAGAGATGGGTTATCTGAGATAGATTGAGTGATAGTTTAAAGCAACGATCTAGGATAGATGGTATTTCTGGTAAAATGATATGGGATCTACGAAATGTGAAAATATAGAGAGTATGGGATAAAAGCATAAATTTATCTGTATTTACAATGCAAGCACGTATGGAAAGATGTTGACCAAGTTGACGTTAAAACTTAAAAAAATTTATTAAAAATATATCTATATTCTCTATCTACATATCTAAATATTTTCTATTGCCTATTTATTTTTACTAATAATAATATCTATCTAACGATCAATACTATATATGTATAAATCATGAATAAATAGATAGTCCAGAAAGTATACATATTTAGACAAGAATTATCGCTAGAGAGTAAATAGAGTTGAGATGTAAAAGGTAGAAATTAATGGATATGTAGATGATGTATATAGTTGAGATAGTTACATATATTGTATCAATACAGACTCAAATGTTCTTTTATTTTCAAGTATAGCTTTATCAATGTTTATTAAATAAAATAGTTCTAACACAATTGTAAATGTATATAAATATTTGTGTGTTAATTCTAAAATTATTTAGTTTTTGTTTTTAATACCTCATTATAAAGTCTAAAATAATCCTACATTTTTTAAAATATTTGTATATTAATTGTAAAATATACCTATATATAGTAAACTATTTTTATATTTAATATTTATATTTATAAATAAATATACAACCTTTTAAAATTGTAAATAGTTTCAAATATTGTTATATTAATTCTAATATATATATATTCATATTCATCCTAAAATAGAGTAGTTATTTTGAAATAATTGTGTAACAATTATGCAAAATTGGTATAGCTATTCAAAGAAGAATTTTTCGATCAATATTTTAATAAGTTCATTAGCTAAATCACATTTTAATAGACTTTAAATTATATTTGAAATAATCATCACAAACAATTTATTGATATAATATACACATGCATTTTTATGTGTACTTTGTTAATATTATAATAATAATATAATATTATATTATTTTTGTAATGTGCGTACATTAAATAAATGATTTATTTTGATAGAAAAATTCAATAAAAGTAAATAAAAAATAACATTATAAAATACTTGAAACGATAATATACAAAATAATATAAATATACAAACATAATTATCATAATGAATATATAAATATATATATATATTGATATATCATTTTATATTCAATAATATTAAATTATTTTTTGATTGAAGGATCAAAATTATCTCATAATTGAAACTGAGGCTTTTTCTTGCAGATCTTCAATACTAAAAAGTTGCTACGATCGTTAATTACGGAAGAGATTAATTAACCCAAGAATCAGGCTTGTAAGCTTATGTATATATATTTTTTGAAATTCTCATTTATTTGCTTGCAGCTCTTCAATTGCAAATGATATTTATATACTTCAATACCACTGGACCTCCCGAATTGATGAGTTTGCTGGTAAACAAAAAAAGTGCCTAGGGCAGACATTGATTGCATCATGGCAAGACCAAGCAATCTGAGCATACTTTGGGGCGTCCAGGCTTCAGCTGTTACCTAACGAGTGGCCCATGGGCAGGTAAATTGGCTTCTTGCCCTGTCAGGGCTTGGCCAACTTGGCAAGCCAAGGTCGCGAAACGATAGAGCCATGTCTTCTAGAAGGAGAAAGAAAGTTCAAGAGTGTGATGCAGCATGACAGGGAGTAAGACACACAGAGAGAGAGAGAGAGAGAGTGAGTGAGAGGTAGCTGTTGCCTTGGGGCAGGCGTATGGTCAGGTAGATTGATTTCTATGAGCGTGCTTTGAGTGAAATCTTCTCATTGGATAAGCTGAAACTGAGCCTGTTGCCTACCGACACAGCGATGGCGACACACACACGCACACACAGGGAAAGAGAGGGAGAGAGAGAGAGAGAGAGAGACGAGTGACCGAACAGGGACCGGCTTAAAGAATGCTCGACTAGCTGGTTGGTCTGCCTTCTCTTGGTGCATGCGTGTGTGTGTGTGCGTGTAGAGGATGTATATCAGGTATGTGCAGAGGCACAGTCATTGGTAACGAAGAGCGGGGCAGGTCCAGACACCACTCGATCAGGCCTGACAGGCAGGCAGACAAATGGAAATGGACTGGCAGGCAGCGCAGCTCACGCACACACACACGCACACACACACACGCACGCACAGGCATACATTGAGAGTCGCAGAGTCAGAGGCCCGACCCGACTCTCGACCCGGCCTGGCCCGGGTCTTCAGTCTTCAGTTTTCTTTTACGTACCGTTCGTTTTTCACATGGTCTTTTGGCTCTGTCTCTGACTGACGTCGCGTCGGTCGCTTCGGTTTCGGTTATCGAGTCTCTGGTCGCAGCCGCCACCGCCGCCGCCGCCGCTGCTGCCTCTACCTCTGCCGCTGCCACTGCCACTGCCGCTGCTGCCTGTGCTGCTGCTGCTCAACAAAGAAAGCTGGTCGAATTTAGCGCAACTTTTGGTTCAGTTCGGTTTTGTGCCTGGACGTGAACAGTAGTGTCCGCGAGAAGTGTTCTTCAGTCTCACCAAACTATTAACAATTTTCTTCAAGTGCATTTCGTGTATTTAAAAAACATTTTCAAAAGTAACAGCAACTGGATTAAAGTGCAAATTGTTAACAACAATTTGGCTCAACGAACTTTGTGTTCCCGTTTTTTTTTTTTTTGGACTATAATGCGGTGTGTGTATTAGTTTTGTTTTATTACTATTTTTAATACATCTATGATTAATTTAATCGAAATGCTCATAAATATTTGAAGTATTTATTGCGGTCCTCGAGTATTTCTCAAATTGTTTTTCACGTTGATTTTCGTTTAATTTTGTTTGTCAATGAGATTCGCCAAGAAGGGCAACTGCGCATGCGCCACACGGTTTTTCCTCACTTTGTGCGTTTTTTGTTTGATTTTTTTGCTTGCCGCATATGTGAAACAGTTCAAACTCAGTTTCAATTCATTCTGTAGTCTTTGATCTGTCATCCATAATAGCCTTGTTCAAATTGAGAGAATTGAGTTAACTGTTATATCATCTATAAAAATTCAAAGTTGTTGTTTTTCGTAAAATCTAAAAAATCGAAAAAGCGGAACATTTTGAACGCACAAAAAAACCCAAAAAAAAACCTAAAAAAAAACCCGAAATAAAAAAATAAAAAATGTTACAAATTTTAACAAAATTTTTGAGATACAAGCAAGTTGCATTGCTGTTGCATCCGCACTGTTGAACGAAGAGCAACCCAGACAACACCCCCTCAAAAAACAAAAAAAAAAATAAATTAAATAATATAAAATAACCCAAAAGGCAAAAGCAAGAAAAAAACTGAAAAGAAAATTTTAAAAAATTGAAGCGTCCTGTTCCAATAGATTCTGACCCGGCGACAACAATTCCTGCCATGTTAATCACCTGATATTCATTGTGTGTGTGTGTTTACTTTTTTTTCCTCTTTTTCTCGTTCTTTTTGGCTTTTGCCGAACACCCACATAAGCATATATACATATACGTATATGTACATAATTATTTTTGCTCTCTGGCATTTACTGTTACGAACGCTTCCGCACTTTGGCACCTCAATTCACCTCTGTTTCTCCCCCTTTTCGGCCCATTGAACACACACGATCAAAAGTTCCCAACAAAATCGGCTAATCGTCAAATTCTCCAATATATATATATACTTGTATATATCTATTCATACAAATCGATAACGCTACAAAAAGAAGAAGAACAAAAAACCAAAAAACCAACAAAAAATCAAAAATAATAAAAAAAAACAAAGAAAAGAAAAATATAAGAGAAAATCAACGAGAAGAACAACATCTATCTGTCCATATATATATACATATATATATATAGTTATATGTATGTGTATATGTATATACACATATACATATCTATCTATCTCGATGTATATGCATATCTATATATAGCGCTAAGCAATCAATATATAATATAATATATATCGTCATCTATCAATAGTTGGTTGCCATTGCGCTGCAACCACAGTTAAAGGCACCAAGACGGCATCGCCAACGGCAACCACCACAAGGACAACGCCCCGCATTAGGCAACGGCTTCAGCGCATTGCGCGGCAGGACAATGCGGATATGTGGTCCAATCTGCTGTTGCCACTGCTGCTGCTTCACTTTGTCCATCTGCATGCCGCACTGGCCATGGCCACGGCCAGCGGCGGCCTGACTGTCATCGAAGGCGCCAGCACCACCAGCAGCAGCACCACCAGCACCAGCACCAGCACCAGCAGGAGCAGTCACAGCACCACCAGCACCACCAGCAGTAGCAGCAACGACAACAACAGCAACAATAGCAACAGCAACAACAACAACAGTGGCAGCAACAATAGCCGCAGCACCACCCACACGACCCACACCACAGCCACCGGCAGCGCCAACATTCACATGGCCTTCGCCACAGCGCCCGCTGTGCCCGCTTCCAGTCAGAGGAAGCGGCATCGCAAGCGGAACAGCAGCTGGTACGATTATCGCAACTACAACGAGAATACGACGGCACCAGAGTGGATCAATCCCTGCGGCGGCTCCTACAACACACCCTCGGCCACAGAGCGCCCACACCCCCAGCGGCCCAAGCAGGTAACTAGAGCGGCTCAAGATGAAGCGCCAACTCCTGCTCACCCACTCACCCACTCTCCCACTCACCCACTCTCTCCCTCTCTCGCTCTCTTTTAGATCTTCAATCAATTGAAGCGCGCCGCCGGCACGGAGTACCATGAGCTGAACAGCACCGAGGATCACAGTGGCATCGACATCAGAGACATGCACATGTGGTCGCTGCACAAATACAATTACAAATTTCTGCCCAAGCTGAAGCCAAACTCAACGGTATGTATAGCTATCTCTCTTCCTCACTCTCTCTGTCTCTGTCTCTCTCTGTCTATCTCCATGCATCTCTCTTGTATTAAGTGGCTCACTAATGTCTCCCTCTCTCTGTCTTTCTCTCTCGCCCTCTCCTCTCTGTTTCTCCCTTGCAGATCGCCCTCAAGCGCTGGTACCGCAACATGCAAACCTATGTGGCTAGCTTCGCCTATTTGCGCCGCGTCCAGATCAACTGGGACCGGCAGTACCTGAAGCGGGAGTCGAACGTGGCCAAGGAGCTGAAGAAGCTGCTGCTCAGCTCGCGCAGCATGCTCTGCGAGCTGGAGACAGCCGTGAATCGCACCTATCCGGCGCTGGGTCCGGGCCGTGGCGGCGCCGCTGCCGCCAAGCAGCGACGCCAGAAGCACGTCTCGCGCCACGACATGAACAAGCGGCTGAAGCTGCGCAGCAAAAGTCGCACCGGTGCCTGGGCGCTGGCTGCGGCGGCGGCTGCGGCTGCGGCGGAGACAACCACCGAGACGGCAGCAGCGGCCGCAGCAGCGGCGGCCATCGGCGAGGCCGACGCGATGGACATGCGCTTCGTGAAGCATCATTACTATGAGTTTCTGCGCACCATGTGGCAGCTGATGCGGCGCCACAGCAAGCGGGAGCGCGAGCAGCAGAAGCCGCTGGAGCAGCGTCAACGACAGCGCCCACACCACCACCACCACCACCACCACAAACATCAACACCAGCAGCAGCAGCAGCAAAGGCAGCAGCAGCAGTTGCAGCAACAGCAACAGCAACAGCAACAGTTGCAGCAGCAGCAGCAGCAGCAACATCATCAGCGACAGCGGCAGCGCCAGTGGCATCAAGTGGAGCAGCAGCGACAGCAGCTGGCGCCGGCCATCGCCGGCAATCGCCGTGAGTTCAATGAAGTGTCCAAGCCGATAATCGATGCGGTTAGAGGCATGAGGGGGCGGCGCGGCAAGCGACAGCAGCCGCATGCAGCGGCTGCAACTGCAACTGCAACTGTATCCGCATCAACGTCAGCGTCAGCGTCTACGTCCGCGTCAGCGTCAGCGTCAACGTCAACGTCACCGTCAGCAGCGAACGCTGCTACACAGCAGCAGCGACACCTGCGCCGCGTGCTGCGCACGTGAAAACTCCATAATAATAATATTATGTATATGCAACCCTTAGCTCGCCTAGTTTAAGTAAATTATTTGATGGAGTTTGCAAGCAAGTTTCTTTCTCCCTCTCTCTATCTCTCTCTCTCTCTCGTTCTTGCTCACCATCTCTCTCTCTCTAAAGTATTATTATTTATTGAAGCAGCTAGCACATATTATCTCGGATTAATTGCAAAGTTCGCATATACGTAAGTCGTCAGCTCTACCAGGCCCTAGCACCCCCTCTCCCGGAGCATTCGCTCAGCAGTTGCCGTTCTAGTCACATATGCGCAACTGCAGCACCCCTTACTCCCCCTCCCCTCACACACATTTGACATCCAACACCAGCTCGAAAGTATTATTAACTGTTTTCTCAATCACTATAATTTTTTTTGTAGTTAGTTAGTTTCTTAAGTTAAATTATACAATTTTCAAATAGATTTTACGCATCGGTCCCAATTGATTTTTTTTTTATTATTAGCTCTAGGTCTTGTTTAACTGTGATATAGCCGCATAATGCTTAGTTAGTTTCTGACCCCATTTTTTTTTGCTAGTATTTAAGTATTTAAAGCTGTAAATAGATAAGCTAAAACATACATACACACACACACGCACACTTTTGATTATCATATGAAAACATTTTACGATAAGCTGCGACAGAAAGCAAATAATAAATGCAAATATTAAAAACTAAAAAATACAAATCCATGTTTTAACTTTTAAATTTCAGCTATAATAATGGAGGAGAATGAAACAGAAAAAGAAAAAAAATTAAAGTTCACTATTTTCTGTATCATTCGAGCAAAAGTTTCTAGTATTTGAAATCCTTTTTACTTTTCATTTGGGCTGAAGGGGCGTGACACTAAATATCGAAATTTACATCTTTATGCTTATAAAGTGGACCTACAACGTAAATCTGAAGTCTCTAGCTCTAAAAGTATTCAAATCACGCCTAAAAAACGAAATAAAGCAATCGATTATTATTGATATAATAAAAATCTGATGGACTAACGAAAATTTATGATAAGCTCCGACTGGGCATGCCATACATGAATAGGCACGTCAAATTTCAAGTCTCTAGCATTTGTAGTTGACGAGATCTCAGCGATAGATGTTCATGGGTAGATGTTAGAGTAATGTTTATACTTCTTGCAATGGCTTCAGGGCATAAATGGAACAGAGAAGTCTATATCATTTATTAAGTTTCAATATATTGTAAAGTTAGTTTAACTCTCATATAAAATAAAATAGTTAAATAAATTTTGAAAACAAATAAATAAAATTAAGAGCAATTAGGCAATTGTAATTAAATTGGAAGTCAAATGGGTGTCAATTGCTTTGAAAATCTATTAAAATATTTCTTAGACATAGCTCGAGGCTTTCAGTTGAGGCAGGCTAAGAGCCAGTCATTATAGGATAGGCACATGCTTAATAAACGCATATTTCATGTTTCCCATAGAAACTTATAGAAAGTGCTCGAAAGATATCATTTCACTAAATGCATAAAGAGAGGAGAGTATTCCGTAAATATACTGTCGTTAATTATTGAGTGGAATTTTCATTTTGATCGTTAGACTTTATACAGATTTATCTATACATATATAAGTATACTCATTCGGTTATTGGTTAACGTTTTTTATTTTTTATAAGACTCTTATATGTATAATTTTGGTTTTCATTTCGACAAGCAATTTAAATATAATAGCTGTAGTACTTATGTATAATTTACTTTGATAAATGTATACTTTGAATACACATCACTCCTTGAAAAATCAATCTAATTGAATTGAGCATTAATATATTAGTGTATTATTACTTGTATATATTTTTGTTTTTGATATATTTTATGTATTATTTATTCAATCAGTTGTTGAAAAAGTAGTGGAATCAATTCGTTACGCAATAAATTATGCATATAGAGCAGATATTATGTAGATTAAGATTAAGATTAGATTATAAGGAATATATCATTTATTATATCATTTATTACTGAATGCAATTCATGTTGAACAATTCAAAAGTGGAATCAATTCATTTGATCTTTCACATTGACTTGATGCAATGAATACTTGACTTTACTACATATAGAGCAGTCAGTATATACATTTACATATAATATCTATTTACAGTTGATTATTAAACACACATATAACGAGCAATTGAAAAGCGTAAGCAATTCGTCTGCCCCTTAGCATCCACTTTGAGTTTGGCTTGCCTTGGCTGGCTTTATGATCGATTCGGCTGTTGTGAGTGTTTATGTGGGGTCCCGGGATCGTTTGTCTTTATGGCTGGCGAGCAGCGCCCGCCCCTGCCCAATTGTGCTGAGAAGGTTTTTATGATCCTTTGGCAGCGGCGTCAAACTATTAGCACTTCTCGCCCAGCACGCGCAGCCGGCGGGAGAGGCAGCTGCATGGAGTCGAACTCGGAGTCGAAGTCGAAGTCGAAGTCGGAGCTGCAGTTGCATTTGCGAGTCAGTTACTGTCCAATGCCTCCACCTGCCTACCTGCGATTGCGCAGGGCCGAGCAGGTGATTGCCGGCCTTGGCCGTAGATCAGGCAGCAGCGGCAGCAGCAGCAGCATCATCAATGGGCCATCGATGCATTGTTGTTGGCCGCTTAGCTTAGTTGATCTGAGCCAACTAACTCAATGAACTTTGGCCAGTGTGTGGTGCTGAGCCGCCGTTTAGCCGGGCTAAGCAGTCCACAAAGTAAGTGCTCAGCCAGCCACTTGGCCCGCACTTGTCGCTGCTCAGCCACTCAGCCACTCAGTGGCTCATTGTGGCCATCTATGCGAGCCGTAATCCTCGCTTTGTTGCCAGCGGCTTAACGCAAATTTACTTTTTAATGCCGTTGGCTTGTTGAGCCGCGTATTAGGCCAAGCTCCGTTTAGGGCGCTTAGTGGCACCTTTGCGGCCCGGGGATTAGCGCGGCCAAAAACGGAAGCTGCCAAACTCTGTCAAATGGCAAGTTTTTCGCTAGACAGTTGCTGCCTCTGCCTCTGCCTCTGCTGCTGCTGCTGCTGCTGCTGCTCATGTTCTGCTGACCAGGGCCAAGTGTTGACACACAAATGGATTATAGACCGGACCTGCAACAAAAATATTTGAATATTATGCTGCTGCCGCTGTGGCTAAGCCGTTTATTGATTGCAATCGAACGGACAGGCAGGCCAGACTCAGTCTCAGTTTCAGCTACAGCTACAGCTACAGCTACAGCTTCATCTTCAGCTTCCTGGCCGTGTATTAGTTAAGCCAGTAGCTGGGCCGGGCCTAAGCCGAGCATCGGTCACTCGTTGCTCAGTGTCAAGTGTCCCCGTTGGCTGGGCCAAAAGGGTCTATTGGGCCTAAAGTAGGTGTTGTTATGTTTTTAGCTGTCATAAATATTGTAAAAACTTCGTAAATATTTAAACAGCGTGCACAATAAAGGCAAATGACAGAGGCTCGTTCGGGTTCTGCCTGGCATCGACTCGGACTCGTATAGAGGGACTCGGCTGCGAGTCGGGTTTGGGTTCGGATCTCTCTCTCTCTCTCTCCCTCTCTCTCTCTTGCGTTGCGCTGAGCGACTCTTGTGCTCTATTGTCCTCGACCAGGCCATAACGGTGGTTGCTGCTTGCGGCTACCAAACAGCAGAGAGCGAGAGCGAGAGCGAGAGAGAGAGAGATAGACTGTTGCCTACCTGTGCGAGAGCAGAGTGTTTGTTTTACTTACTTTTGAAATTTGAATATGTCGAGAATCGGGGCCGGGGCTAAAGATTAACAACATTTAATAACCCATCGTACCATTCGGTGCCTTTGTGGCAAGCATTTTTAGCCATAATGCAGATAACTGCATTTTTGTTCCCTCAGCCCCGAACCATTGTTCCCTGCCCTCACACTGTCCATCCGTCCGTCCGTCCATCCGTCCGTCCGTCCGTCCGTCTGTCTGTCTGTGCCATGTTCTTGGCAACTTTTTGCCATTGTCCTTTTTTATTTTACAATTTTATTATTATATTCTTTTGCTTCTTTTCTTTGTTTTTTTTTTTCTCCTGCTTCTTCTTCTTTACTTCTTTTTTTTTTTATTGCCATCCTGCAGCTAGTTCCCAGAAGCGAGCACTGCAAAATTAAGATCGTTGCACCGAGATGCCGCTGCGTGTGTGACACTCTCAGTTGGCCCCGTCTCTAGTGGCAAATCAATTAGAGTTGCGTTTCGTTTGCCCTCTCATAGATTGCAGATCGAAATTAACTGCCTAATTGCATGGCACGAGCACGAAATCTATTTTCTAGAATTTATTTATATTCGGAAAATGTTGTGAAAAGTCAGCAGAAATGTATTTCTGTTTTTTGTTTGCATCAATTAAAGTTTTTCCCTGACTCAGTCGTAAGTCGCCCCCATTCGCACTGAGTGCTCATGCTGCCCGGGCATCCATCAACAGCTCGAGCCTAAGTGAATCGCCCTGAAGTAGATATTGAGGCACTGCGGCACGCGTTGACATAATCTCGAGCAGCGGCAAATAAACAATATCACATCGAAGAGCAGCCGGTCCGAGTGCTATTTGGCTTTGTTTACAAACATCTCAAATTAAGGAAATTATTGTGTATATATTTCTGAAATATGGGCATATATATTTATTGATGTTTCCCATATGCTTGATAGCCTCAGCCTATAATTGATGTACTCAAAAAAAAAAAAAAAAAAAAAAAAAAAAAAAAAAAAAAAAAAAAAAATTAAAAA